GGCGGTTCACTTGTCGCTTGTAGTTATGTAACTGACCTCTTTTTTGGAATTTTCCGCTGTATCGATGCCTTTCTTAGCCGCTATGTCACCAACAGGAGGCTGATTAGCGTTTGCATATGTTTCCTGAACAGAACTTCTAAAAGTAAGCTAATCTTCTCTCAAGTAAATAAGAAAGCCATAAATACTGTTTTGTCCATTGCTTTCTCCGACTGTATCCAGCAGTCACACGTACGCCAAAACCAGTGATAACAACTATCAAGGTGGTACGGTACTATTAAGAGAAATAGTGACATATAAATACACAAACCTTAACAATGGGTAATCCAAGTCAAGAGCAAAGGGCGTCGGTCAAGGGGGCATGGGTCTGATTTTATAAGGTTCCAGGAGGCAGTTCCTGTGGGCTCCAATTGGTCTGAATACACCAGCACCAAGGGTGGGGGTGGACGCAAACATAGACAATACTGTTGCGGCAAGGAGGGGGGGTCGCAAGGGTTTGAAGTCAGTGGCGGTGATGGGATGGCTTGAAGAGTGGTGACCGTAGTAGCCGCGGTTGCTGGGTCAAAAGGGGGAGGGGGAACACACAGCTGGCTCGCCATCGCCGTGCCCTGTCACGGTGGTCGACATGTGAAAAATGCAATGTGAAAATGTGAACGAAGGGCCGAGACCGGGGGAGGGCAGTATTCAGTCATTTGAAGTTGAGTCAGTCATAAGCGGCCAGCCTTCTAGGGACAAGGAGGACAGCCTTCGGAAGAGTGTAAATAATCGTTTTGTAGGTCGGACGGGAGTCTCATAGGAGAAGAGATGTGGAGGATTCCAAACTTGTTCAGCCGGAAATAACAAATACTGATAGCTCAGATTGAAGTCCCAGCTCCATTGTGAAGGTCTTTCTCAATTATAAAAGCAGCCATCCCATTAGCTCGCTTTAGAACCTGCGTCTGAATTCTCTTCAATCACCCAGTCTTTAAATGATCTCATGCAGAAAGGATGGGTTGTTTCCTGCTGCTTCCTCAGGAGTAGATGCTATATCTGGGAAGATATTATTCAGCCTCTGATGTAGCCCTTCAACATTGCAGTTCGTCTTTAGTGACCAACTTACGTCCTTGATGTGGCGCGTTCACTTCCGAACTGTGCGTTTTCTTCTCAATTTTCATTCTGAAAGCCCTTATTATTCATCACGTAGATTGTACGGTTAAAGCAATGATTTAATTTGCATATTATGCTTTCAAAAATAAAATGAATGTCCTCACAAGTATGAATTCTCAGGGTTCCGTTAGTAGTATATTTTTGTGGATCAGTTTATATATGCATCAAACAACACATAATTATCAAAAGTAAGCTACGTCAAAAATCTGGAGGCTTGCAAAAACAGTGCGGATAATCTTATATCTTGGCTGTACAGAACCTTTCAGAATATGTCTCAAATATTTAGGCTACTGAGTATAGCACGTACCTTAACTCCTGTTCCTTGAAACACCGCCTTGCCCTTACCCCGTGGCGTCAACAAACCGCGCTATTTGCGAATACATTTGTTTTCGTTAGTACAGCAGGATGGTCCGCAGATCCTTTACAGGATCGGTGTTAACCTGTCTTGCTGTAGTCGTATTTGTTGTGTCAATATGTCCCTTTTCATTCTGGAGTCATGCGTTTCGTGTTTTGACTGAACATGCCCAACTTGCTAGTATTCAAGTTGCGATTAGGTCGTCGACCATCTATGTTGTTATCCAAAAAATGATCGGAACATCTATTAAGGCCCCATTTACACTTCCTAAATGGACACTTATTACCAGCGAAACATACAACCCTGAATATGCATTCATTAGCGACCTTATTCGTCTCCGACATTACCAGCCTGGTAAAAGTAACTACTTCCAGAAGAGGTTGTCCACAGTCGCAACTAGTAAGGCCGTTTTTTTGCTTTTACTTCGTAGGTTCATCTAAAGAAGCACAAAACAGCTTTTTATTGGCGACCAAACAGCAAGCTTTGGGTCGTTTTCGAGTTGCTCTGAAGCTCCTAAAACATGCTGCTCAGTTGGATCCCAACAATGAGGTCATTTTGACTGCTCTCGGTGAAGCCCTTGAGAAAGACGCGGACGATGGCAAAGAGAAAAGTCATAGTTCAAGACAGAATCCGATATCTGCCTTGTCAGTCAAGAAGTCCAGTGATATAAAGTCATCCGTATATGCGGAAAACCTAGTTGCCGCTGAGAATCTGTACGCCCGTGCTTTAATAGAAAACCCAAAATACCAGAAGGCTACGAAGAATCAACGCCGGATACTACCTGTTGTAGAGCAACTCGACCAACAGCGGTAAGCAATATATTTATTTATGAAGCTGGCCATTTTGTTATTTTCAGTTATTGCATTTATAGTTCCACGTGTGTAATTTTACCTTCAGCAAGACTCTATGCTTTTCCATCAGCTTTTAATTGTCAGTGGAACTATCACTAGCGCACATTAGACACATTTTCTAACTTTATTCAACCTCAGCTTAGTCTTCTGTCGAAAAATCCACACCTTACTGCAGGTCGTCGCCGATGTAGTTGATTTTATTGACAACACTTTTTTTTTACTCTTGGTCAGATGACCTCTAATTTGTCCTGTTTTTTAGACTAAAAAATATTGATAAGAAGGTCGCGCGTTTCTATCTTGTTCCTGAATCTAATCCAGGTTTGAGATTGGTGAAGATTGAGCACTACTTTCAACACATCTATCATTCAAATGCTATTGAGGGAAATACACTCTCGTTAGCCCAGACGCGCGCCGTTTTGGAAACACGCATCGCTGTTGGCGGTAAAAGTTTGCAGGAACAGAACGAAGTAAGCCTGCTCTATTTTGTAAAAAAATGATTGTTTTTCTGTGGTAAACGGGAAGTGTAAGCTAAAAACTGGGTGGTCTCAAGGGGACCACTTTTAGTTCAAGTTCAAGCTCAAGACCACTTTTATCAGCCTGTTTCCATATTGTTTAGTTCGAGCAAGTTCTATTTATGAAAGGTTTCTACAGTTGCACTTTACTTCTGCAGCTGAGTGTTTTCAGGGGTTCTTGACCGTAATGGGGTGATTGATCGCAATGTATCAGAAGTTTTTACAGGAATCAAAATTATGTTTCTGTTGTTATTGCCGTCCAAAATTAATTTTATGCCATGCGGAAACTTTTAAAGCACAAACAACTGGTCTATTTTTTAAAATTCGACAAAGATTTTTCGACAGCCCGACAGGCGAAGACTTATTCACAGCCTATGCATCCCAATGTGAATTTACAACTTTGCCCGTCGGTTCTCCGTATTTAAAACTGGAGTATCTCAGCCGCTTGGTTAAAAATCGTAATTTAGCAGTAGCTCTGACGGCTTAGTTAAGTAGAGGCAACTTAAAATGAGTAGTATATGCGAGATACTGGCTGTTGTGTATAAATAACTCCCAAACCGTTGAAGAGTCTGCGTTTTCTCAGAGGATATGAAATTTGCCAGGCCTGCTGGTTCCAATAACCATGCTTACTTGGGCACCCTTTTTCGATTTTTGTAACCAAAAACTTAGCTTGTTATCAGGTAAATAATTTTTTGTTTCAGTTTGGCCGATGTTTTCGCTGCCTATCGCATAACAAATAGCAGTCATCAGTCAAATTTGTACTTTAACACAATTAACTTATTTAATCTAATTTTTTATGACGTACTATATAATCCGTCTTTTAAATCCTTGGTACTTTTCATTTAGGTTTTAGGATTGGATGCGGCATTCAGATTCCTAAACACGACGCTTCTCAAAGGCTCCTCAGCTCCGATAGAACTTGGCGACCTACTAGAACTACACCGGAGAATTTTATCTTTCGTGGATTTAACGGAAGCTGGTCGTTTCCGGGAAACCCAGGTTTATAATTCCATGCCTTATAGCCCCTTGCTAGAAAAGTGTTAGAAAA